TGGTGATCTTGATCGGCCTCGGGCTTGATGATGATCTTGATCAGCCTCGGACTTGATGGTGATCTTGATCGACCTCGGGCTTGATGATGATCTGGATCGGCCTCTGACTTCTCCTTGATCTCCAGAGGGCCTTAGACGGACTTGGAACCATCTGATTATAAGTTCATTGCCACGTGACACAATCCAATTGGGTCAGCTTATGTCATCAAATAGATCTGGTAAATTTTGATTGGACCAATTTATGTCATATATGACTCAATCTTATTAGATCAACTTATGTCATTATAACATAATTTGATTGGTCGGTGAAATTATTTAATTGGCCTCAATTTAAGGATATATATATATATATATATTTTAAGAAATTTAAGGACATATATTTTATCATTATAATTACGTGGGAATCTGTGATTCGCAAATTTATCGGTCAACAACAGACACGAAGATTGAACATTTCAACACTACTACTTTAAAGCCATTTGATTGAAAAAGGTTAAAATTTACCGTTGACTCAACCCCAATTAGAAAGTTTGAAAGGGAGAGAAAAATAAAAAATAAATTCAACCACTATTTATATTGTGTGGTTGTTGACCAAAACTAAAAAAGGAAATACAATACTGATTTATTTCAAAAAAGAAATACAATAATCATCATTCGATATATTTCCATAAATTAAATGATTTGTATTGATATCACAAATCAACCAATATTTACCACAAATAGTATAAATATCGATTAAATATTTAATGTCAATACTAAAATTTTAAAATCCATTCCGAAGAAGATGGAAGCAGCATGAGTAATGAGTTCAAATCTCACCGTAGCTGTAGTAACCACCTAGTTATGATATTAAAATTTTACGAGTTTTCTAAGTTAACATGTTTATAATATATTGTTCAAATATATATTCTAATAACTTCTAGGTGGTCAATTTAGTTCAACGGGATAGACTAAAAGTTGTGAGTTTGATTCTTGACCCACATATTGATGTACTAAAAAAAACTTTATAGTGGTAGGACAGTAACCGATCGATATGACCTTAAGATATCATTCTCGTGACACTTACTAAAGTGGTGGCAGGTGAAAAAAAGAATTATTAAAGATCAACTTTAGGGAGGGAGCTTCAGCGAAGAAACATATAGCACAATCGAAATAATTTGAGGTGCACCTAAATCGGTCTAAATACTTCAAATATTTCGATCAAAATACTATTTTTACCCTTTTGTCTTAATAATTTCAAATTCAATTATACTTCCAAAATTTTTGTCTTAGTCTCAGTAATGACCAAATTTTTAATACAATTATAATTATATTTCAATAAATATATTAAATATATTTTCATGTTAAAATTGTGATAAAAAAATATAAAACAATCGCTTTTTTGAAGTACAAGAGATAAAATGAACAACTACAATAAATAAAATAGACATTTCGAAACTGTATAGAGATTAAACTAGACAAAATTCGTAAGTACCAACATTAAAACCAACTACTATGGAAAGAATAGCTACCAAAATATTACTTGAACCAAATATTTAAAAGAAGAAAAAAGGGAGAGAGAATTATCTCAAAAAAAAAAAAGGAAGAGAGAAAATTCTAAGTGCAGTAAGTAATTAATGGTGGATACGAACAAGATCAGGTGGTCAAAATGGGATAAGGAAAGAGAGTGGCAGAGGGAGAAAATTGGGCAGAAATGGAGGGACAGGATCGGAATCCGGAAATATAGGAAGGAACAGTAAATTGATTTCCATGGGCGAGGGCGGGGTCACATCACGTGCTCTCCCCCTGCCTTTGCCGGCCAAGCTCCGCTTCATTTCCCGTCACTGCCACTCTCTCGCCGGTTATTAATCTCTGTTTCTCTCTCTCTCTCTGTACCCATTTCCTCAGAAAGCAGCAGCAGCACTTCCGCGGTTGATCGCCATTACCCAGTTGTCTAATTTGATCATCTTTCTCTGGTAAACTCTAACTACTTTCTTTCGTCTTCTTTTGATTTGGGTTTCTGTTCTTTTTCTTGTTTAAGTTGTTTCCTTAATTGGGTTTGAAGTTGAATTGTAATGTGGACTTGCTACAGTATCGATTGCAATTCTTGATGCCTCATGGTCCAGATCTTGTGCCCTTTTTGCTAACTCACTCTTTAGAACTGTGGTTGCCTGGATCTTCTCCATTTCCACTTCTGTTTGGCCGATTTTGAAGTTTTGCTATTTATCTTGGCAGGATATATTGCTGATTTTCTCTTTGTTTGTTCTATAGTTTCTTCTGATTATTGGGTTTCACAACGCGGGGATTTTGATGAAGGAGATGGGATAAGTGATTATTGTGAGTGTAATCCATAAGAGAGATAGTAGGGTAAGTGAAGGGTGGGGTTTTGTTCGATTGTGTCTTGGAGTTGCTAAGTTTGAATGAATTTGAGGGCTGATCAAGTAATTGACTGATGTTCAGAGATCCAGTATTTTGATAATTTAATGAATATCATTACCACAGAGCTTGAGATTCTATTGAAGTATGTGTTTTTCTTTTCCTAAGTTGAACTATGAGCTTCAGATTAATGTTGCATATCAGCGTGCATAGCAGTGAGTTCCATTGTTTTATCTTCGAAGGATTTGCTTCTGTCTTTCAGGTTGGAATTGTAGATTCGTTTAGTTACTGCTGATGAAAATGGAAATGTTTATTTGAGGTGTAATGTTTTAGACCGTAGAAGAGGTTATGGAGATTAGAGATCTGAAAATTCCAATATTTTTGGGATCAGAATACGAAATATTATTTTAGATTGCATCAATCTGAAGATATGGATGAGAACTTATATTTGGAAATAGCTACGTATATTAGCACGATAACGGTAATTTTGTAAGGGCTTCTTATCTGGTATTTCATTAATGTGGATTTCATACAACTTTTCTTTTTTCTTCTTAGGCTGTGAGCATATCATTAAGTCTAATTATTTTATGATATATTGCTTCTGATGGTTGTGGTGCTCCTCAACAGCCATGTCAGAGAAAGCTCTTAAAGCACTTAACACAGTGCCTGGATTGGAAGGGAACAGTGAAAGTTCTTGTAAAGGGGATCTTAGTAAACAAGGTATAGGAACTGCTAATGGGAATGTTGAAGAATTGAAGATTAAAAGCTCTGCTTCTATCAGACCTCAAGTAAATGGTGAAAATAGTAATCCTGGTGCTGAGATTGGTAGTTCAGAAGTAGAATACATTGAATCTGAGAATTTGGCTGATCTAGAAGATGTTTCGTCAAGCCTTAAGGTATTAATATTATTAGACTTGCCCCATGGAGTTTTTATTTTTCAGTTATTTCTGGAATTTAACATATATTTTTGGGGATATCTGTGAGTATCTGTGCCACTCAAGAATATCAGTTGTAGTTGATAATTTTTTAACAGTTGTGGTTGATCGTTATTGATGATGCATGTTGAGTTTTGTGATATACAGAGCTAAATGGTGTGGGAAGAACTATTAGATAATTAGTTTAATAACTTTTATTTAGTTAATTATTTAAGTTGTTAATTTTTTTATAAGAGTTAAGTTGTTAATTTAGTTAATTACTTTTATTAATTTTTCAATTAGCATTTAGGGCTTAATAGCAATTTCTATTATTTTTGTAAAGGTTGAAATTGGAGAACTTTGAAACTTTTTATGAATTGAAATTATGAACCTTCTTTCACCTTAGCGAGTTCGTGCTTGTTCTCTGAATGGATTTCCCACGTACTATGGACTCGTTTCCATCCTATCAAAACCCGCTGCATCATAACTTAAAGAATATTAGCCCGAGATTGGCAAGCTGTAATGTGGTAGTCTTTTTGGGGAGGGCTTCCACGGCCCTTGCCCTTAGGCTGTACTCTTTTCTTGGCTCAATACAAGATGTTTCTTATCAGGGAAAAAAAAGAAACAAACTTAAAGAATATGTTTACTTGTTTTAAAATTTCAGGTGCTCTTAGCTGGACTAGACTCCAAAGACTGGGTTTTGGTCTGTGAAGCACTGAACAATACGAGAAGACTAGCAATATATCACAGGGAAGACATGCTTGATATGCTGTAAGTCTTCAATGCTTTTATGCCGACTCGAATTCAGTTGATTTGGTCCTTTTTTTGTTTGCGGGAATTAAATATTTTCAATAAGTCGTTTCTTATAAGAAAAATTATGCATTGGAGTTACTTCGTTTTATGATTCATCTTAGGCTATGTATTTTTGTGACAGGGGAGATGTGATTTCACTTTTGGTGAAATCAATGAAAAATCCTAGAAGTGCTGTATGTAAAACTGCACTTATGACAACTGCAGACATTTTCAGTGCTTATAATGACAAGATGATTGAATCATTAGATCCCATGGTAACTTCAACTTGGACTGTTTGATTCTACTGTTTTTATCCAGTTATCTTTTTCTTCAATGGAGGAGATCCCTTTTCTGAACTCTGCATGCAATGGACTGCAGCTGGTGCAGCTTCTTCTGAAGTCTTCCCAAGACAAACGTTTCGTGTGCGAAGCGGCTGAGAAAGCTTTGGTAGCAATGACTTCTTCGTTTTCCCCTGGTTTATTGCTACCAAAACTGGAACCATATCTTAAGAATCGAAACCCACGAATTCGAGCCAAGGCTTCAATGTGCTTCTGTCGAAGTGTTCCACGACTGGTGAGGATTTAACATCTTAATTTGCAATTCTTTGGATGGAAATTATAATTTGTCATAACCTTCTTACCTGGGCAACATCCTTATAAGGAAGAAATTCATGGTAACATTTATTTGGTTTGTCCTTCATGTTTCCATTTTCATTTAGCTTTGGACTCTCACCTCCTATCTTTTAATATTTCGAAAAAGAATTTATGTCTGAGAAAGAAAATTCTCGATTTCCAAACCAATTGTTCAGCAAAAGTCAGTCCCCATATTGCTCAGCTATATGTTTACCGTTAAATTTTCTTCCATCTCATTTTCTCCTTTGTTGATTTATCGCTACACATTCCCTCGTTCTGATTTCCAATGGAATCCATGATTGGGAGTTACATGCCGTGGGATTTCATTGTTTTGCCAGTTGTGCTTGAACAGGGTTCTTTTAAAAAAAACATAAAAATAAAATAAAAATTTTCCCCAAAAAGCCAAATGTAGAGGTCAATGTCTGGAATCTTTCATTATCTGTTCTGCTTACATGATTAACGAATATTTGTTGATAGGGTGTTGAAGGGATAAGAGCATATGGGATTGACAAATTGATCCGAACAGCGGCATCCCAGCTTAGTGACCAGCTTCCTGAGTCAAGGGAGGCAGCTCGAATCCTCCTTTTGGAGCTGCAATCTGTGTACGAGAAGTTTCCCGACCTCCCAACTGCGACACCTGAAGATCCAGAGAAGGGCTCTTGGGAAGATTTTTGTCAGTCAGAGCTGTCCCCTTTAAGTGCACAAGCTGTCCTTCGTGTCACGAATGTTGCCCGGGAAGGTATTGTTTCGAGTTCTTGATGCCTAGTAATGTTGATAATATTGAAACTTCAAAATGTACCCCATCGTCCTCGAACCTCGAGCTTTTAGCTGCTAGCGTATAGGCCATGATAGCTATTATTCTTTCTTTTCCTTCTGGGTTGCTCTGTCAGATTTCCTTGTAAATTCTTTGAAACTTTTGAGGTACTGACAATACGTTTGAAGCGTGTAGTTTTTGCTATTTCTGCTTATAGCTTATAGTAAGTGCAATATTCTTTCAGATTTTCTTGAAACTCTGACATTTGATGGTGTGAATATTACCAATACAAAAATTGGAAGTTTAGGGAATAAGACATTCGATGCATATACTTGATATATACACATATATTCTTTCTAAACTGTTTTGTGTCTGATTGGATAATCTTTGATTGATATTTGTTGGAATAATCATAGTATGTTATAGATTATTTGGTTAATTTGTTCTTTGGGATTGACCTCTGTTTTGCTACACATGATATCACCTCCAAAATCCATCTACAGATTTGTTAAGGTGGAGCCTACTCCTCTAGTTGTGTAAACCAACCTCGGGGCGCTTCGCTCATGGGTTAGGCTTGTGTAACTTGACATTACGCAGTTGAGCTTGTGTGTGGATGTAGGCTTGTTTATAATAAGCTACGAGTTTGTTAATCCCATAAGTTATAACTATCGTTATTAAACTTAGGCTTACGAAACCTATTTTATATATATACTAATCTTTACCTATAAAAAATCTCCAAACAGAACACATTACACAAATTAAGGTTTCTATATTGTACCATCTCAACATCGTCCAAACATCCCTATAATGTCACACTCATATAGTACAAATCGAAAATAATCAATCTTTTATATGATGAGAGGGAAAAAGAAAGAAAGAAAGAAAGAAGAGAATTTTGCACTATAATAAAATGTAATTAGCACTACTAATCTACAAGTAACTTTACATGGGCTTTGTTAATTTTCTTTTTCTAACTAGTGTTTTTGTCAACATTTTTGTTTTAGAGTTTAGTTTATAATTTATATGATGACTAAACACCTCATCTACATAGAAAAATCAGGTTCATCTGGTTTAAACAACTTTGGCATTTTCAAACTTGAAGGTTTGGATGATTGGCCTTTGTGATTAACTCCTTTTCTAGTGTTGGCAGCAAACTTTGAAGCCAAAATTGTGGCCCCAAGATGTTGAGTTTTGTTCGGGTAGTCTGCAGAAGACATATCGTCGTCGTCGTAATTTTCTTCGGCTAGCTCGATATCGTAGTCGTGATCTTCTTCTATGGAATCTAAATAGCATAAGCTCTCTCTCATTGCCAATGTCTTTGCCAATTTTCTCTTCTGCAGCCTCCTCCAAGCTACTTGAATTAAGCAAGCACCCCATGTCCTCCATTGATGAGAATAATACCTAAAGGCATGTTGCAGTTTCTTGCTATGTAAGCGCTTGAATTGACTGGCGACAAACTTGAGGTCCTCTGCTCGAAGGGCGAAAGCTTCGACTTCGGTGAGTGCTCGGACGGTTCGAGTAGAAGAAGGCATGTTTAGACTGGAACTTGGCATCAAGGCCCATGTCAATAGTTCTTCACCACAAAAGTCACCTGGTTTTAGTGTGATGGAGTTGAAGAACCCAGATCGACCGCCATTTGTTGTGGAGCTCTCGAGTTGGCCTCTTATAATAAATAACATTTCGTTAACTGGGTCATCCTCTCGCACTATATAGGTTCCTTGGGTACACAAAGATGAGATGAGACGTTCACATATGGCATCCAGAAGCTGATCGTCCATTTGTGAGAAGAAAGGAACCTATAAACTCAAACAATTCAATTGGACATTCTAATTTGTAAAGAAATATCGCAAACAAGTAGTATGGACAATACGCACACGGCGAACAAGTGACAAACACAAATGTTGTTGAATCTCTCGACGAAGGTCTATAGGCAATGAACGCAATATGGATTCTTCATTAACTCCTCTCGTAGCTTGCCATTTATATTGAACGAATCGACGAACTCGTTCTTGCAAATCAGGAGGCAATTGTCGACGTCTCATCCATTCTTCAGTGTCTCTTCGCTTTATCCTCCATTCTTCAAGTCTTAATGTCATTGATTGCAGACATGTCTTCAACATGAACCAAAATTGGGAGGGGAAATAGAAACCAGTTAGATCAAAATGTGTCTTCAAAAACATCAAACAAAATTGCTTAAAGTGAGAATTCTGATGCACAAGCAGGAAGAAAATTTACCTGCATGTTGCCAATGAGTTGTGAAAATAATATCAAGCCAAATATGCAGGTTGATATGCAAAATAAAGTCTCGCCTATATACGTCGTCGTATCCAAAGTTTGCCCATATGAACTGTTAAAAAATACAAAATATTGGCATCAATTTGAAAAAGATGGAAACCTCTTTAAGAAGAATAGTAGATGCATTAACTGCTAAGCTATTCTCATGTTGGCTCTAATAATATCTTTCTAACAATCGAACTGATGACAAAATATAGTCGAATGCAGCAAAATTGAATAAGTAACCAAACTAAACCAAATGGGTACGATTACAAATTATATTCGAATAAGTAACCAAACAAATCTAGTTGCAACCAAAATCTACATTGAGTTTATAAGTAAAGACAACATCTCAATAGATATCGATACCTCAAATTCCTGAGACCCCACCAAAGACAATAGAAGTACTTTGCAATGAAGTGTGAGGAGGCAACATCATTGGTAAAAGCATCGGAAAACATTCCGAACTTGAACTTTACATTTTCGTTCCTCGGATCGCAGTTGGCAGTGACATGGGTGACGTTGAGCCAGTATTGTCGTTCGGGTCGATCCAAACTGTTACAATCCAAGTAACTGGGGAAGCAAGATAGAACTTTTGATGCATTTTCCTTCGCACATATTGATTTCCAACAAGAGAACTGTCGCCCTATGGCTAGAAGATACCACGTAGATCCCAACACCTATGATAGAAGGAACATTGGAGACACATTTTGAGGCTATATTAGAAGTAAAACCAGAAAAAGAAACATAGAAAATTTAAAATTATACGCTCATTAAACATTGATGTAATGAGTATGTTATGTCAGTCTAACGTTAATAATGTTAATAGTCGAGACTAAACGTAAACGTAATTAATAGTTTAGGGATGGTAGTTGAAAATTTTAAAAGTTGATTGACACACAGTAATGCTAAAGTACAAAGATTCATATTGTAATTTAATCCAAAGACAAATTATGTTTTAGTCCTTAATATTTGAATGTTTTTTTTCAATTTAACCCCTATGGTTTAGAAAATTTCAATTTAGTTCCCTTATGTGGTAATATTTGTAAAAACCGCTATTTTAGTCAATATTAAAATTATTAGATGATAAATTTACACGTCATGGTATTTAGTGAGTTAGTAGAAATTTAGAGGAATAAAACTATCCAAAGAGAATTCATCTTCTAAATTTTTAAGAAATTATCCATTTTTTCTCACTAAAATATCCTAATTTTTCTTCTAAATTTCTGTTAAACTCATTAAGAACATGTTCGGGAGTGATTTTAACATAACTAAAATCATTTTTGCCATTTTCTAAAGTCACAAGTATACCAATGTAAAGTAATTACTATTTTGACAAAAACATGTCTTAAGTATCATGCCACGCACGATTATCATAATTCAACTTCAACCTTCACCAACAAAAAGAGTATAGTTGAAAAATGTTAAAACATATCAAACTAAATCGAAACTAAACATACTAAAACACTAAGAGGCTAAAACATATATTCAGCCAAACGAAAGTAATAAACAAAGAGGGATGGAATAGAATCGACACAAACGTAAAAGTAGAGACATGAAACTAAAAACACCCAAATCGAACATGTCCTAAGTATCATGCGATACACGATTATCATAAGTCAACTTCAATATTCATCAACTTGAAAGAGTATAACTGAAAAATTTTAAAACACGAGATCAAACTAAACCGAAACTAAAAACACTCAAACATTAGGAGATTAAAACACATATCCAGCCAAACGAAAGTTATAAACGAAGACGGACAATAGAATTGATGCAAACGCAAAAGTAGAGAGACACGAAACTAAAAACACCCAAATCGAAACACATCCTAAGTATCATGCGACATTTACCAACAGAAAGAGTATAACAAAACATAAGATCAACATTACGAGACTAAAATATATACGCAGTGAAACGAAAGTCATAACCGTGGAAAGACGGAATAGGATCCACACAAAGGTGACGGTAGAGAGGTTTACATGGCTAGCAAGCATGTAAAGGATGAGATTGTAGGCAGCACCAGCCCAGGCAGTTTTGACAATGACACCAGTGGTTTTGATGATTCTTTGGTTTAGAGGGAAGATGACGAACAGCCTTGGAACATATTGGAACAGAACTAGGAGAGCTACTGCGTTGTTGGCGTGATCCACCCTTGAGTGTCTTGTGGCTGGAATCACCAACCATATCACTATCTGATACAAAATTTCAACTCCAAACTTCATTATATTTGGCCCAACAAACAAAAAATAACAAAATATAACTTCGTCCAACACGACGTGCCCGAGTCTGACACGTGGTACTTACTCCGACGCTCTGACACTTGTTAGTCGTTAAAGTTGAGAGTGAGTTCGAGACTTGTTAGATATGTATTGGACACTAGACATAAATAGTACTATAGGACAAAGTGAACGATAAATAAAATATCTAAACCATGTGTATAGATAAGTTTATTAAATAAACGTGTCCTTACCATGACAGTCTGTGTCGTAGATTTTAAGAAAATAAAGTATAGTTGTGTTTGACTAGGACCTTACTTTTGCTCGTTTGAGACTCTCAATTCTTCAATTTGGTTTGATTTTTTTATTTTGATCAATTTTGTTGGGTGCATCCATAGTTAAAGACACTGGTATCCGAAGATCAATGATTCAGATTCCCTCGTTATTCTTCGTTACACTCCATTAAAAAGTCCAACTAGAAAATTAAATTTTGAAAAATTTACCAA